CCCACGACACCCCACCCTATGGGGTGAGAGGTGTTGGGGTTGGGTGGATGTACGTATGCATGTGTTAGTGTGTGTGTGTAAGCATATGTGTATGTTAACGTAAATCTGAAAATAAAAATTGATAAAAAATACAAATTCAAAAGCATTTTATAATTTTCAAAAGTATACCATGGAGACTTACTCGGTTTTTACTAAACATGTTTTCTAAATTTTAATCTAGAAACTGCAAATGCAAAATCATTTTATTTTTCATAAAACTGAAAACAGTTTTTTCTAACTAAACACACCCAAAAATACTCACCTCAACAAAACGATGATTCTTGTGTTGTGCGTTCGAAGGTAAGATACATACTTAGGACAATTTCATTGCTCCATCATGGAATTCCATGTCAAAGATTAATCATTACTCTCTCTTGGCCTATTATTCTTCACTTTCACCATGTTTGTCATGGTGTCTCCTTTGTCCACCTAAACGTCCTTCGTCGACTTCCAGTTTTGCACAATGGTAGTTTCCACCCTCATAATTTAACATAATTATAACAATGAAAATTTCAATTTTTTAGTTAACGTATTGTATTTTGAACAATCGACCCAATTATATCATTGTGTTTTGCTCTTCTTTCATTAGGACATTATAATATAACATGAAAAGTCTACCCAAATATAATAGTGAATATTGCCTTGTATCTAGAAGACCGTGGATTTTCGGAAGAACCATGTTGCAATATGAAAATTTCAATTTCTTGTGTTTTATACTATTAAGAAATAATAGTAGCATGTAAAAAAAAATATGAAAGTACGTTAACTCTTGTATTTAACCCTACAATCTGCGCTTTTCAACTGCAAAAATTTAATGAATCTTTCATGCTTTCTTTGAATTTTTAAAACCGACCTTTTTGTTTTCGTATCACATGTTATAAGAATTTCCAAATAAGCGTAGTTTATTTGACAATTCATCTCAAAAGTATAGCTCTTTTCCAAACAGAGGGAGTGCACTTTGGGTTCATTACCTTATTTCAGAACACGACATACATAAATCTCACACTTATATCGAGCACTTTCTTCAAAAGTGGCCTGTAGAATATATACTTGTAACTACTATCTCAATTCTCAACATTATATACAAGTAAACAAACATGACTTTTGATATTTCTGATCAAATATACACACATTTTCACTAATTTTACACGTTTCTGAGATGAACTGCTTGAGTAAAGTGTAAACTCGGCCATTTCCTTATCTATTTATTTATTTTTTTCCCATTTTGGACCTTCAGATTTTGATAAGCGAGTTTAAAATTTTATGAAGTTGAGAAACATTTTTTTTTTTCCAATTTGGGTAGATATGATGACAAGCTAAACTACGGTTATTGAGGAAAACAAAAAGAAACATGGCAGATTTTCTTATAAATGTTTCATTTTATTTCCCAAGTGTGCCTACGTTTTCAATTTTTAAACATCGTTTCTCCAAACATTACATAATTAGAAAAAAACAAAAAATATTGGACTTATACTGCTGTCATAATAATTATTGGTAGTTTTTCTGTTAAGCAGAGTTAGTTAGCAAATCAGTTAGATTAGCTCATTTTAGTCTTGATTGTGCACAATAGCAACAATCTCCTCTACGTTTCTTACCAAATCAATGAGAAGATAACCTCTCTCTCTCTCTCTCTCTCTCTCTCTCTCTCTCTCTCTCTCTCTCTCTCTCATAAAAAACAAGGAGAAAATTAGTATAAGATTTTGTAACAAAGAAGAAGCCCATATGATATAAATCTTCGTAACACATGCAAAATACCATTTTATCTTACACATACCACCGGTAGACTTCATTTTCTCATTCTTAGCAATGTTATTGCTGCTGCTTAAAGTTTTTTCACTACTACAAAATGGGTAAAAGAAACCGGCTTAAATGCTTTTTTTTTTTTTTTATTAAAATTATAATCCTAGTTAATAAACTTTTGATAACAATTGCTATGTTGTTATTTTTGCATTTAATTGGCCCAAATAAAGAAATCCTCAGTCATGTCTACATATTAACATTAATCAACACTATGATCTACACCAGAGAACTCCTCTTCATCGTGTTCGTATATATAGGTTCATCAAGATTATCAGCCGATGGTGCTCTCTAAGAAAGTTGTGCACCCTCTCACACCTGAACACACTCCCCTTCAAAGAAAAAAATAACATAAATTAAATGATTCAGAAAGATGATCTAAATACAAACATTAACCATCTCTATAAATTAATCAAGACTTTTAAAAATATTCAGATATGTAAGTATATTTCAGAAATGGAAATGTATAATATAGCATTGTGTTCATCGAAGAGTTATATATATATATATATATATATATATATATATATATATATATATATATATATATATATATATATATATATATATATATTCCGTATTTATGTGATTTCAGATTCACTATCTAAGATAATTGGAAATCGAGAAGAAACAACAAAATCAAATACGTTAAACAGCTAACAATACCCCTTTTCATTTATCCATTAAGGATAAAACCATAAAGTTTCTATAATTGTGTGAAGATCGTTGGCTTTTAATTGGACATTCTAAGAACATCTACTGAACTTCACGTTGTTTATATGCTTACTAGTTTATAAACCGTGGAAATCATGGTTATAAAATTAATTAAATTTTTATAGTAAAAACTCAAAATTATTAATCAATCATTTTAAATAAATTATTAATTGAAAGATGTTTTTATTAGTTATATGAAATTATAATCGTTGATTCAAATAAATATATAAAATTAATTTTTTAATATATATTAGACATTTTTTATTTTGAATTAATGAAAACAATAATATAAAATTTAAATTTAAAATTTAAAATAGATAATAAATATATTGACAAATAGCATCACATTAATAATGATGTCTAATAAATTTAAAATAGAGAACTAATAAATGAACAACTGACAACACATTAATTAAGATGTCTAATATGATGAGTTGATGACAAATGACAAAAGAACTATTTTTTATTAGTATAGAGATTTGATTGGTTTCATATATCGTCTAATTCTCTCATAGCAATATAAAAGTTTTTTTTGTGACACATCTCAAAAAGAGGTCATAGCTCCTTATGTTATTATTATAATTATTATTAAAGCTTAAAAGTATTCAATCTTTTAGTGTAATTATTTAATGTTTTAATAGATTATTAAATTTGTTCCCTTGTTCGCCTGCTAACTTCTAGAAATGGGTTCTTGTTCATACTTACAATTGAGTTGAAAATTTTCTTCCACCAGCTCTTCTTTAAGCACACATTGTTTCTTTTTCTTTTTTCTTTATATAATTTGAGTTTTTCCGATTGTAGTTCTGTTATAATAACGTTCTTATTTTATAAAGAAACAGATTTCAGTGGTTTTTAAAAAGAAAAGTGAATTGGAAGTGTTAGTATAGCTTAATTATTGTAAATAATGTTATATTATATATTTAGCTGGTCATATTTACGGTTTTACCCCTGTATTCTCGTAATCCAGTTGACAACTAATTTCCTTCAACAGCATGATTAGTGTCCTTGATCATCACTCTTTAATCCATAAACAAAAAGTCAAAATTTGATTGAAAACGATTCAATATTATTTGACAATTTTCTTTAGTTTTTCTTCTAAAATATGTGGAACTTTTTACTACATTAACTATATACAAGAATATGTTCAATATTTTGCACTTGATAGAATCTTTCGAATTGAATAAAATTGTAGTTGATAGCAACTTTGAGTTGAAATTTTATGGAGATCAAATCAATTGTTGTCAAGGTACACCAAGGCTTTTGACCTCTTTCTTTATCAAGAACACAACCTAAAATGTGAATTATTTATATGAACATAAATACATGAATGGATATTTTCATGGAGAAACAGAAGACATGTTCTGCTCCCTTAGACATGAATAGACTTGTCAGAGGTTTTATTCTAAATTTGTCTTTTGTCGTAGTAAGTATAACAATATATTTCCATAATTATATCAATAAGTATAATATTGTTCAATCTTAAACTAATTTATCTCATCTACATTATTGGTGTGGTTAGTAACGAGTCATGATAGACAAGTTTGTGTAGGGTTCGAAAGAAGTGATGGTATCTCGACATGAATTAATTTATTTATGTTAAGCTGTAATATATTAATTAAGAATAGGTTATTACTTCAATTATCTAATTTGTTGGATAAAATAATTCAGGAGATTTCATGGATCACAAACACATTCAGATGACTCTTAAGTCACTACTAGAAACATGGCTTTTAGAGACCGAAGAATCCGTTGCTATTCCGTTGCTAAATGTTTGCAATGGATCAGCAGCAAATTCACTCGATAGGTAATTAAAACGTGGCAAATAACTCAGCGAGGGTTTTAGCGACGAATTCGTTTTTCCTTGCCACAAGTTTAGCGACAGCATATCCATCGCTAAATGTCACTTAATAGATTTACTCAGGGCATTAGCGACAAAATTTGTTAAAGTCATTCCGTCGCTATTCTGTCGCAAATTTCCGTGATCAGTGTTTTTTTTTCTGTAGCTAATCCCTTGCAAAATTCATATACTATTTTTTTTTTTCGTCGCTCATTTGTCGCAAACGTTAGACATGATTTTTTTCCTTAGCTAATCCCTTGCAAAATTCATACATTATTTTTTTTCCGTCGCTGATCCATCGCAAACTTTAGACATGATTTTTTCCCGTAGCTAATCTCTCACAAAATTCATCCATTAATTTTTTTTTGTCACTAATCCGTCACGTACTTGTAATATCATTTTTTTTATTATGATTCTAAAAGAAAAAAAATACTACAATCATCAAATTATTATACTAAAAACATCAAATAATGATACAACCAAACATTACAATACCAAAACTATAAAAGCTTACCAAAGTATCATTTAAAAAAACATCCAAAAACAAAACTATGAAAGTAAATTGCTATTTCTTGCATTACCTGTTTCAAAGCTCCAACATCATTAGTGTCATCACCACACATCCAAGTTACTCTCCCGGATGATTTAAAAGTTGTCATTATTAACTCTGTTTGCTCTGGAGCCACCCTAACAAATACCTGATATCTGAAGTTGATTTTTTAGCTAAACGGCTTCAAATAAAAAGTTTAAAATTTTACAAATTTGTTCCCTATATGAAACTATTTTCCAGGTTTGGTCCAAGGGCAAAGTGGTCATTTTGAAAAAGCTAAATTGAGAGTTGAATCAAACAACCATGATCTATATTGGCAACAAACTGATACAAAAAATAGAACCTGGACCAAAACCAAAAAATATAGTAAACCACAGGGATCAAAGTTGTAATTTAGTAAAAATAAAAAAGCTTCACAACCTCCACATATGGAATCACTTTAACAACAACAGAAGTCTGCAGCAACATTTCAAAGCAGTCACCTCCAATACAGAGGTCATGATCTTTGAAAAAAAAAAAGTAGGATGCTATAATAAGCAAATAAATGAAAGTACATTGGTATTTCTTGTTACTTGTAGCTCACAACTTCAGTTTCATCTGGTGAAACCGACTCATATCTTTCCTTGTTCTTTGTTGGAACAAGAATAAAAGCTAGTTTTGAGATTAAAACTCTAATATGAAATTGGAAAATCAAATTAAAGAAACTAAGAGTTTGTTTGTTTTTTTTTCTCCATTAAGTCCTGTAGACAAAAGTGTTGCATACAAAATGCAAGTTTCTTTTCTAGACTGAATAAAATCATCTGAGTGAGAGTAAATGACTATTTTACCCTTGCATTCTAACAAACAATTTTCACTCGGTGATACTTACCAAGTCATGTGATGATTTTTTCAATTCAGCCAAGACATTAGCAGAATCTGCTCTGATAGGGCAATTAAATACCTGAAGTTTGTTTATATAACAAAAATGTCAAAAAAAAAAAAATCATTTATCATAGAAAAATGAAAGCATGTTAATAAATTTATAGAAAGATGAATTAAATTTAACATAAAATTTAATAATTTATACCACAAAACCAGCAAAAGTGAGCTCGGATTCCACTACTTCCCTGTCCAAGTTTCTAGCTTCACTTACCTATAAAAAAATTGTGTAAGTGAAAACTAGAGATTCTAGAAGGGCAAAATAGGCAATAAGAAAAAAAATACTTACCGTCATATCAAGAAGGGGTTTATATGTCGTGTGTACCTCTTGTAGGTGTTTATATAAAACGACGGTATATCATTTAATATTTCTTGAATGGTCTCAGGTGCACCCTAAAATAAACACCATTTAAAAAAATTTGAGAAAATTGAATAAAGGTAATACACCATAATATATTATATTATATTTAAGTATTTAATATTTTAAATACCTTCACAAACGCATAAAACTGCTCTTCTGTACGAATAACAACTGCCATTCTTTTCAAGTGGGATGCAAAGTGATGCCTTTGAACTGTTTGAACCACTAATATATTAAAAAAAGTTGGTTATTAATTTCAACCACTTATATATTAAAAAAAAATGTTAATTAGGGTTTTATGTCATTAATAACGGGTCTTACTTCTTACGCATGACTTTCTCATCAGATTGATAGCTCCATTCTATCCCTTTGATTGCAACCTTCTCAAGAGGATCATCAACCTAAAAGCAATGGTATAAATATAAATATGCATAATGTATTTTCTTTATGATCATAATATTATAATTTGAGATTAAAATTATTATAATATTTTATATACCAGTTTGTTGTGCACAAAAAAAAGAATTTCCAAAGTTCGAGTTGGGATTTTTTTAGTGTCTGTTTCCAGATCTAAATCGACACTCAGTCCACCAACTCCAGAGAATTCCTGAAGAAAAAAATGCAAAAAAAAAAAAAAAAAAAATGGGAGACTGGAAACAAATTTTTTACCATGAATGGCAGAATTGTAAATACCATGTCGTCAGATGTCAATGTTCCCGTCTTGTCAAAACAACATATATCAACCTGCAAAAGAAATGGAGGGCAATATGGTCATTTTATATCCATCAATTAACAGTGTCAATTCGGACAGAAAGCATGACTAAATTGCATTTTAGGCACTAAAAATTGAAATATTGGACCATATTTGTAAAAATCAATAAACATAAGGAACTAAAAATGTAATTTGCCTAAAAATACATGTAGTATAGCTGTATAAGCTAAAAGTCTGAATCCCAGATAAATGATCAAACTAGCTAAGAAACTGGGGCAAAATGGTCATTTTACAGTTTACACGCACTTAATATCCATCTATCGACAGTGTTAAAATCAGAGACTAAAAATACAATAAAAGCAACATTTTAGGGACCAGAAGTTAAAAATCAAAGTATTAAGCCATACCCGTAACAATCAACAAACACACAAGGTAGAAAACTGTAACTTACCCAAATATAAATGTATTAGAATCTAAAAGACATTAATCCCAGATTTAAGATCAAAATAGCAAAGACATGCTAAAACATAAAGCCATGGGGGACAAAATGGTCATTTTTACATGTAATTTAACATCCATCTAACTTCAAGTGTGAAGAAACTATGCTTTAGGGAATCAGAAGTTAAATATCAAACAATTGGACCAAACCCGTAAAAATGAACAAACCACAGGGACTAAAAATACAATTTTAACTTTTACCACAAAAATAAATGCTAATGCTCACCTTCCCAGCAAATGGTATACAAAAAAGGCTTTGTACAAAATATACCATGTCTTGCTAGTGCAATCAATGAGGTATTAACAGCTATTGACAACTCCATTGGCAATTCAGGGGGAATCACAAATGTTATAATTAAAGAAGAGGTCTGAAGAAGCTTGCTCCTACTCCTGTTTGGCTCCTCAAGCCCCTAAATCATGAAAAATTACAGTTATAACCTTCACCACACTTTTAAAACACTAATAGATGTCAAATTTCAACACCAAGTTGAGAGTTTTATACCATAGGATACTAAAACAGAGCAAAGATCACTTCAAGATTCTTCAATAAAAGAAAGGCAAACCAAGGGTAAAATGGTCAGAAAAGAGAAAAGCAAACCAGGGGCAAACAAAATGAACGTGAAAAGAGACATGGTAAAGATTCTTCAATAAAAGAAAGGGAAATCTAAACATGTCAAAATAGATATGATGAGACAAGAAACTTGAATCAAGAAAAAGACATAAGAGAGACAAAAGAAGGTCAAATTCACCTTCACGAAGATTGTGCGAGTATTTCTTCCAAAGATAGCCTTTTGAGATCACTTCAAGAAAAGAATCAATAATTAGTGTAATACATGATAGTTGTTGGAAGAAACACATAAATACATAACAGAAAAGCGGAAATGAACAAATTACAGAATGGTTACTGCATAATTACAAAATTATATATTTCAGAATTACATAAATGATAAAAATGAAAACAAATTGAATAATTAAAGCGATGGTAATTGAAGCAACAAGCAACAAATAACAGATTACAAATGATAAAGTACATATTACAGGGTACTGGATGGTGATATGGTCAATGAAACAACAAGTAACAGGTAACAAATAAAATCATATAATAGTTACAGAAATGGTAAACTAAATATGAGTACATAACTAGAGAATGACTAAAATACATAACTACAAAGTATTGGATGATGATATCCAAAATCAAATACTTTGTAATTATATATTATAGCAATTCTCTAATTAGGAAAAGCAAGTTCATTCTTAGCACTGGGTTACAACATTGAGATCAATGTTAACAACACAAATTTACAATAACAAGCAACTTCATTAAGTTCATTATGATGCTCAAAGGAACTTCATTGAGTTCATCTTAGCACTAAGATTCAGTTACAATGTAAAATAACTCATCATGATGATGTTGAAAAAGAAGAACAAACAAGTAGCACTGTTGCAGTATGTAGATTAATGAAGACTTATTAATGATGAGATGATGAGATGAAATAACTCGTCATGAGGATGTACTCATCAATGTAAAATAAACTTGAGCTCTCAACTTTTAGCTTCTGGTAGAAGGGGTGTTGCTGGGTGGAGTTCCGGGGATAGGTGGATTTGATGTTGTTTTTTTCTCTTACTTTAAGTGAATTGAGTGCCAATCTAACCAAAATATGGAGTTCACACAACGCATTGGCATTGTTAGTTAGGGAAGATCGTCATGTATGTAATGCTAAGATATAAGAGGTATGATGATTGAAAAAGAAAAAAATGGGGAAATTAAACCCTAACGAAGTATATTATGCAATTGAACTAAAACTAACCTAATATGTGACTAAAGCAAATAAAATCAAGAGATTTACCTGAATCGGAAGTTAAGGAAGAATACTTTCAGATTAAAAATTGTGGAGGTTGCCAGAATCGGGAGCTGCAATGTTGAGTAGTGGCGTCATCTGTTCGAACAGATATGGTGAGATAAACCAGAAACGAAATTGGGTTAACAGATCGAAGGGAACTTACTCCAGAGTCCAGAATGATAAAGCTGGATGAAGGAAACTTAAATCACCTTCGTGAGAATGAAACTGGGTTGTGCCAATTTCAGCGAAATGCGTACCGAATGACACAATTGTTTTTATCCCTCGTTGAACCCTAGCTAAGTGCCTTCATTTTTCCACTAATTAGCGAGGAATAGTGGTCCGTCGATATATCCGTAGCTGAGCCCTTGCTAAATCCTCACTAATATTCCATATGTTAAAATAAATAAAATAATTATAAAAAACATGGTAGATCTATGGTAATTCTCTATCTATAAGTCTAAATTTTTGCTAGAGAATCAATCTGTAGCAAAATCCCTAGCTGAAACTCAAGTTTCTAGTAGTGAGTTTTAACCGGACTTATTTTTAGTTAATTTTTTATACTTTATTTTTTTGATCATTAAAGATAAAATATAAGAAAATTGAGTAATCTAACCCTTATAAACAACTATTTTAATAAAAACAATCATTTTAATTTGTTTTTTGTAAAATGATCAATTTCTCTGGAATATCGTATTCTGGAGTGATTATGGTTATTCCGGAGTTAGGATCGTTCGAAGGTATCGAGTCCGAAATCTGGCAATCATACCCTGACTACTAACGAAAAGGATTCCATATTATCACTACAAGAAATTCGGGCATTAGCGGCGATGGTTGTCGCCGCAAAAGATAGGGGTTGTTGCTGCTATAGGTATTAGCGGCGACATGTCGCTGCAAAAAGGTCGCCGCTAATGCTTCGTCGCTAATGGCCTATTAGTCGCCGCTAATACAAAGTTGTCACCGCTAGTGGACTGTCGTCGCTAATACTACCACGACACCGCTAAACTTCATCGCGACTAATGATGTTGCGTCGCCGCTAAAGACGTCGCCGCAAAAACTGTTTCGTTTTTTTTGTTTATTTAATAATAAATTTATAAAAAACCATATAAAATTTATAAAATCTGGTACAATTTTATAGAAATATTAACCGATACTCAACCAAAAACAATATAACATTTATAAAATATTAATCCAAAATCCAAAATATTAATCCATACAACCTAAAGTATTCTTCCAAACAAAACATTTCATAAAATCCTAAAATTCCTACTCGTCGTCATCACTCTCATCATTTCCTTCATTATTATTTGGTGGTGGCAATGAACGAAACCACTCTTCTAATGCCACAGAACATGACGGGTCCTTTAGTATCGTTTGCAACATTTCCAACTACAAAGAAAAGAAAATATATTACTATGACATCCCTATTTTCACGGCCAGAAAAGACCGATTTTGTTTATGCTTTATAAAAATCAGAGTTCTTCTTTTAATAAAAAAATGTTGCGAAATTTGTTCCCAGAAAAACATGATAAATACGTTATTAAAATATTTCCGAAGAAACGTACTTTACTCATTTTAAAACGTTAGGGATGTCATCGTCAATACAGGAACATGAGCATAAACAGAACTTACATTTATTTACACTAGTGATCTACATCTCTTTAAATCTCTCAGTGTAAAGTGACTTCGTATCAACACCTGTGATATAAATAAACTGAGTGGGTCAGGTTGGGAAACCTGGTGAGTACATAGGGTTTTCAACTCACAATAATATAATTATTATGTTTAAACAATCAAACAATCAACCCAATTACCCATCCTCATTATCTTCTTTAGTCTTAAAGATCTACCCTAAGAATCAACTATTCCTCGTTTATTTATTCCTAAGGATCATCATAAGGAATCGACACGAAGTCCATCATTACCAAGACTTATAGAATATATCTGGTGAACACGTAGTCCGAAACATCTTGTAAACACTTAGTTCAAAAGTAACTAGTGAACACACTTAGTTCAAAATACCTAGTGAACACACTCAGTTCAAAGATACGTAGTGAACACATTCAGTTCAAAAATACCTAATGAGCACCTAGTTCAAAAATACCTACATGTTACGAAACTGCTATCGTTCCACTGGACCGTCTAGTATCGTCCATAGTCGTCATCTATACTCCACTAGATGACTGGATCACTGACAACACTGATGTCTCCCATCGTGTTATCACAAAACAACTATTTCATCTACCCATGTTTTTCCCAACACGTTTTGTAGATATAAAATACGTATACAGTTTAAATCATTTAAAACATGTATAAAAATCTTTTACTCAGCATAGACAGCAAGTATTCAGACAATATGTACACATAACACGTAATTTATATTAAAATACTTCATATCTAAGTGTAAGATGAAAGAGACTATGCACTCACAACACGTAAACTATATAATAAATACTTCATATCTATGTGTAAGATAAAAGGGACCATGCACTCACCTGAGAAGGTGGTGACTTGGTACTCGGACAGCGCTTCGTTTACTTTAAAATAATTTCCTTCGACGAAACCTAGTATTATCACCAATAGATTTTAGTCTATTATTCGCCGAGACTAATTAATAGTCTAGCTATTATTACTATTATATAAGCGTTAAAAAAATTATATAACCCATAATAATAGCCCAAGTATTTATTATATGTTCTTAATAACGTTAATATAATTAAATAAAAACTATATTAAAAATAGCGTAGGCGTAGCTCACTTACAGCGGGTTTTATAGAAAACCAGGCTTTGCTTGGAGCAGCGTTTCCGAGCCGGAAATCTCTTCTTCTCGGAGCCGTCGAGCACTCCGGGGCTTCCGCCTCGTGCTAGGGAGGTTCCCTATGCTTTTCGGGGGATTTCGGGGCTAGAGAGAGGTTTTAGAGAGAGAGTAAAGAGAAGAAAGAATGGGAAAGGTGTGAAGAAAATGAGGGGGGAGAGGTGGTATTTATAGGGTGAAAATGGATGAAGTTGGTGCCACATGTCACCATCTAGTGGCAAGACTTGGGGAGAAAGCAATGGCCAAGATTGTGCCACATCAACTATTTTGGCACAGCACACTTCCGACTTCTAAAATTCGTAACTTTCACATACGACCTCCGTTTTTGACGTTCTTTATATCCACGCGTAGGTAAAAATAATATCTACAACTTTCATTTTGACTCCATCGGCTAATTCTCGACCGATCTTAAATTTAACAGTACGAGGCGTTTAGACTGTTAAATGACCGCGAAGAATCTGTAACTCCTTCATACGGACTCTGTTTTCGTCTGTCTTTTTACTGTTGAGTTCCTATTAATGAGATCTTCAAATCTCATTTAGGTCGCATAAGCCAAAAACCGCTCGAACTAAAATTCGAGTTTCGGGCTGTACACTGCTAAGCCGAATCTTAGAAAAATCATAACTTCTTCATACGAAGTCAGATTTGGGCGTTCTTTTTATGGATTTTCTCGGTTTAACATATTCTACGACTTTCATTTAGATCACTAAGGCTAAATATCGCTTTGTTGTAAATTCACTTTTTACGCTTTCCGGTGCCGTGCCGGTTCCGTCGCGAAACTTCGACGGGTCATAACTTCTTTGTTATAACTCGGATTTCGGCGTTCTTTATATGTACGAAATCTTGTGACATATACTACAACTTGGTTCAAATTATTTATTCTAAATAATATTTTGTCAAAAAGTCATTTTCGACCCCTATTATCTCTAAATTGACTAGCCCGGATCTACGGGCGTTATAATTATCTCCCCCTTAGGATGATTACATCCCGGAATCATCAACGAAACAGGGCAGTGTAATGACTCCATACGTTATCTCTTCATCCTAGGTAATAACTGTAACTTCTATGTTGCTTCGAACGGGTATCTAACTCTTGGACTCCTTGATTGCAGGTGGTGCTTAGTCTTGCACCTGCTCGTTAGACTTTCAGTCATGAACTTCATGTCACAAGCTCATTCTTTATCAGAGACACCTTCTTCTTCTTAGGATAAGTTAATTTGATTTCTACAATTGATCGAGGTGTCATATTCTAATGACCTATTATCGTACGTAACAACGCTTAGACTCAGGTCTCTTAGAGTCAAATTCCGGAATGAAATATGCCTTCCTTCATGGTCTAACGTGATATAATCACATTTTAACATGTAGAATTTCTAGCTACCAACTTTTTTTTTAACAACGAGCGCGATACTTCTATTGATCGCTTTGATTTCAATCGTTTGGTTTAAGTCGGACGCTACATCAAACTTGGTTCTCTGAACCACGTAACCTACTCATCGTAGTCGGACTCAATGTGATATGACCACAAGGGTCGGGATAACAACAATTTTCTTAGTCATTACTGAAACAATGGTAACAGCATACTTGAATAAAACGAAATCAATTACTAGCTTCTTGGTAACCTTGTGACTTTCCCTGATCCAAGCGTGAGTCCTGTGCTTCCGGTAGTATATGCATCTACTACCTTTCACACCTACTCATACTCGTCCCAAGTATTGTCTCGCAGTTTTCCAAGTCACCATTCAAGAAAATCACATAACGGTTTAACATACCAGATAACAAAACGAAGACTTTATTATTTCTTGAAACTATTACATAGGTGTTCAAGTTCACCCTAGACTATGCCTCTAATAGGCTACATCATATGGTTCTATCTCTTTGGCTACCTCATAGCTTGATCTTCGGGTATGAATTCCTCATCCTTGGTTCCTTGCATTGTTTTCTGCTTCGTCGAGGATCATGTGGAATGCCCTTGGCCTCGGTGGCGTTTCTGGTCTTGCTACTTTATTTTTCTTTGGGCAATTCCTTGAAAGATGCCCCCCTTCTTTACAATCATAACACAACCTCTTGTTGGATGTACACTCATTGGCGTAATGCCCAGACTTTCCACACTTGAAACATGTCACCTCTTCGCCGCATTTTCCAAAGTGTTTCTTCTTGCATTTATCATGCACTTGCTTCACCTCCTCCTCCAGGCTTCGAGAATTTTCTCTCCTGGTTGGACCTTGAAGATCCTTCAAACTTCCGCTTCTCTCCTGCCTTATCTTTTTCTAGACCCTTTTCCCTTATCTGGGCCTCTACATTCTTAGCTGCCCTAACAGCTGTTTTCAAGGTAGTTGCCATTTTGACCATTGGCCAAAGTCAGTGGGTAATCCGTTAGCAAACCTATCAATCTTGGAGATTTCAGTAGGCACCAAGTAGGGGAATAGCTTCATCCTCTCGGTGAATGCGGTGGCATACTCATCAACACTCATCTTCCCTTTCTTTAGGTTCTGAAACTCATTGTTTAGGTCTATCAGATCTATCTCTGAGCAGTACTGCATTTTCAACTGTTCCAAGAACTCTTCCCATGACATC